CTAGGGAGGCTGAGGCACGAGAGTCACTTGACCCCCAGAAGCAGAGGTTGCACTGAGCCGAGATTGAGCCATTGACTCCAGCCCGGGGGACAAAGACAGTGTCCCCACCCTCTCGCCAAAAAAAAAAAAAAAAAAAGTCAACAATTATTGTGAATGGGGAGTGGAATTTTATTTATTTCTCCATAGTTTATATTTACAAATGATATGAAGAAAAATAAAATTAGAGGCAGGAAGAGTGACCAGAGGAGGTAGGGGTGAAGAGGAAAAGGGTTATCAGCAATGCCTCACTGAGAATGTCACATTTGGGCAGACTCTTTGGTAATGTAAGGAAATGAGAAATAGGATGATCTGCAATAGGAGTGTTCCATGGAAAGAAAAAAAACACCACATGTAAAAAAACATGTTTCAGGAATAAAATTGGCTTGAATAGCTAGAGTCATAGTTGTGAGAGGTTTTTTTTTTGCGATTGTTTGTTTTTTTAAATAAAGTCAATTTTCAGTATGATTATGTTCAAAAGTAGACAGTGATCTTCAGGATGTTTCTGTTTAGATGATTATTTGCAAAACTTCCATTTTACATATTACCTACTGTTAAACTCAAGGATCATATGATCATCTATGAATTAGGGTTAATATGTGCTTGTTCTGAGGAAAATGTAGAGAAAGGAATCATCCTTCTTGATGAGTTTAAGAAAGTACATCATGGCCACATATCTTAGATCATTTAGATTCAATCATAGTATAAATAGAATTTACACTACATAAGATCATTAGGTCATTTGCACTCTATACATTGTGATTGCATATTTTAAAATGAAAGAAGGTGAAAATGTTGATCATATTGCTACTTGATGTAGCTATATAAAAAGGAAGGAAGAGATCTTGAGGTTATAAATTTCTGAATATTTGTGAATTTATTTTCATTACTTTTATATACTTTCATCAATATAACACAAAACTCTAATAATAAGACATGTGGAGTGGGGTGAGGTAAAACAATAGGTCATATTTTGAAGAGAGACACTGAATGTTTTGTAAACAGTAGCAAAATTGTAAGTTAAAAAACTATCTAAAGCAGTAAATACTGCTATAAATATATACAAAAAATACATATACCAACCATACCAACCATTTTGTATATAAAAAATACATATACTAACCATATACACACATCATATATATTAATAATACTACTTATATTGTGATGTATATACTATATAGTATGTCTATAAATTCTTAACATTTCTGCAACACAGTCAGATTGTCTCATAGTTAAAATGCTAGCAAGCAAGGAGAATGACAATCAATGTTTCCAGTACTCAATAAGCTAATTTTCTTCCACAAGGGTGTACATTTTCACCAGGCCATGAAATTTGTTTTTCTAGGTCAATTTACTACAAGGGTCAATTTGCTATGAGAGTCAATTTAGCATGGATTTTTAGATTTTCAGTTCTGGGAATGACTGTATATTTAAAAATATTTGTATATTTCCTCTAAATTTAGCATTTTAAAAAAGAAATATAAATGTTCTGGTGAACCATGTTAAATCACAGAAAATTTATCCATAGTGATAAAAGTTTTCCCCATTTCCATTTCAATATTTTTAGCACAATTAAAACTGCAGACAGTTTACTTGGCTCCCAAAAGGGTAAAAAAGCATAATCATCACAGTCAGGATAAATTTCAGTACTTTCAACTGTGGTAGAAACAATCACAAAATATAAGCTAATCACAGTCTCCTCTGTGATAACTACCTTAAAAAAACAAAACAAAACAAAACAAAAACCTGTATTTGGTAGTATTGAGAGAGGAGGAAGAGGCTCTCATCTTATTCTGTGATAGCATATATAAAGAGGACCAATATGTTCAAGGCAGAAAAAATTATAAACTATCTTTTATATAACACATTAATTACTAATGAATGACTTACTTGTAAGGCATTAATTTCTCTTTGTTTCATAATGTATATTAAAACACTTAATTAAATATTTAAAAATATTTTTGCCACGAAGTGAAAGAGAATATGGAGCTTAATTATAAAGAAAGTAAAGAGAATTTCGCAAACAGGTTTAATATTTCAAATTATTGCATATATGGATGCATGGATAGATGCCATCTTTTGGCAATTTATGAAACTAATTAATTGATGATTCCTATGGGGTCAGTTAATTTATACATTTACTGCCACATTGAGGATATATGTAGACAATAAAACCTTAAACCTATGAAATGAAGATACTGGAAGATATTTAATTGTATTCACAGAACTGCTGTAAGTTTTAGAAATGAATTTATTCGTACAAGTCTATATAACATTTTGACAATGTTACATTTTTCTAAAATATTCAAAGATCTTACAACATTGAGTATTGGCTGTTTTTAAATTAATCGTGTAATAGCATCTAATAATAGACTATTTGAAAAATAGAGTATTATCTGTTCTTTGTACATGAATTTGACATTATTTATCCAAATGACCAGAGTTTATGTTTTCAGTATTTTTCTCCCAGATGGGCAATCAGTGCACATTTCTCTTCTAGTCTCCCGGGTGTATGGCCTAAACAGAGCCCTTAATCACAAGAAAGTTCATGACTCTCAGCCAAACTTTCAACTTAAAAAAAAATCTAATTAAATTAATCATTTTGTTTCATAGTTTACAAAAGGAGTTACTTTTGTCATGAGAAGGATATTCCTGGGGTTTCTGAAGATAGTAATTTACCAAAAATCCCCTGGGCTTTTTAGGTTCTTCCATTTCATACATCGCCCACTGAAATTATCTCTGAGGGTAAGTATGTAGCAAAACAGTGTTAAAAACCAGCGCTTCTTCAACTTTCTGTGCGTACAAATCACTACAAATCTTGGTATAATGAAGATTCTGACTCCGTAGGTATGGGGCAGGGCTGAGATTCTGCTGTCCTGATAAATTCTTAGGTGCTGCTGGTGCTGCTGGTCTGAGAACCACATATTTAGTAGTGAAGCTACAAATTATGTAAGGGTGCAAATCCGAATTGCTGTCGTGGTTATCAACAAGACTCAGAAGAAGACTCTTTTTCAGAGTATTGGTTACAAATGCCTATATATTCATGCTCAAATGGGGTATTTTTTTTTGAATATGACAATCTTAAAGATTTTCTATTGCTCAATGTAGCTTTATAAGTAATTCAGTCCAGCTCCTTCATATTATAGTTGAGGTCACTGAGAGTCAAGGAAGTTGAATATATGCCCAAGGTCACACTGCTAGAAGCAGGATATGCACTAGAACCCAGAAACTCTGACTACCATTTCAACAAAAAAACCCCGAACTTCTTTGGCATTTCCATTTGTTATATTCTCCCTGACACAAAACCTAAGCGTGAGTCAATAATGATTAGAATTTCACCTTTTGATCCTCACAATAGTTTAAATGATAGCACTATCTGTGGACTCACTGACTGACTTTCCTAACAGCTAAAACTCACAGTAGGCAACTATCTCCTACAATAACACGGGTATTCACAAATCTTTCTTCAAGAATGTGCTTGCAGTTTTATTATGGACATTTTGTTCCTTAATTTTGAGAACCTGGGGAGAAAGGTGGGCAGAGAAATGAATGGGTCATTAGTTAAAAGGCAAGGGTTGAATTTGCAAAAGGTTGTGGCAAAGTAAGCAACAAATGGGAAAGAGTGAAGGGCATCAATATTGATCTTGCCTCTCATCTTTCCCTCTGTCTTCTTGCTTTCAGGTTTCTATTGTGTAGTCTCTCAAACAAAGCCGACTTGATTTATGTTGTGACTGATTTAACACTACTGAAACAGTCCATCATCTGTTAATTTGGTCCAATTAAAAACTGGTCATAGGGAAAACCCTGGTAATTAAGCTTATTTAGAAACACAACTTCTGATTCATTTATGTCTTGCTCATTTATGTCTCCTCTTCTAAAGGACACATTTCAGGGTGTTGATTTATAGAGGTGGTTCTTTTCAGTTTCCTGAGTTTCTGTGACCCCTTTTGGTTGTGTCCATTAAAAAAGTACACTTCTGCCTCTCTCCCCTCGTAAGGCTATCGTTAAAACATTTTAAAGAGGCTTGCCTAAGATTACCTGCTATCCGGAATTAGAAAAATCCCACTAAACAGCTAGTCATCATTTATAAAGTACGTACGCATTGCATGGACTTACGCTAACATCACTGCTTTCTCACTTAATCCTTACAACTCTTAAAGTTAAGTACTATTATCCCCGTTTTGCAGTTGAGGAGGCTTTGGATTTAAACGTTCAAGTAAATCACCAAACACTATAAAACAAGAAGCGACAGCTATGCTATTTGAACCAAAGGCTGCCTGATGCCAGTGCCAGCACTGCTACCCACCAAGCTCCACTGAGATTTATGCCTAGACTAAGTAAAATCTCTGAACAACAACAACAAAATTATTTCCTCCACTTATTTTTCCTTTTTTGCAACACAAGTTCTTGTAGGCAGGTAGGTGTTCCACTCCCTATACTTAGCCTCTCCCACGTCCTCTGCAATCTTTCCCTTTTGCTGCTGGAATCGTCAGAGATTGCTACTGCAGCTGGTGAGTGGGCAGGTGCAGCCACCATCTGCTCTAGGAGTCCAAATGCGCAGAAGAACCTCGCACCCAGGACCTGGCCCAGGCACCACGAATTCCAGAACATGCTGGGGACACGGCTAACCCCGCCCCCTCGCGGTGGCGATTGGCTGAACCCTCCCTGAGTGCAGAGCGCTGATTAATGAAGGCAGTTGTCTCGCCTGCAAGTTCAGACGAGACATCTCTAAAGAGGTGAGATCCGCCGGGGGTGCTGAACGGGGGCTTCAGTGCTTCCTGCCCGAAGGGTCCTTGAGAAGCCTGTTTGTTTTTCCCGGCGCTTGTCTCCACCCATCCCCTTCTCTCATTGGCCAGACCTGGTGGGCGGCTGTGTTTCCATTGGCCGGGGGGCGGTGTCTGTCCCTGGCCAGGGTGGGGGCGGGGCCTCCGCCGCTCTGAGCTTGCCCTTGTGTCTGGTGCGCCGTAGAGCTGCCGCCGCCGCTGCCGCCGCCGCTGCCGCTGCCGCTACAGCCGCCGCTGCAGCCGGAGCATCCGGGAGCCGCCACTGCCGCCGCCGCTGCCGCCACTAGCGCTGCTTCCACCGCTGCTACCTCCCCTCCCAGGACCTCGAGACACCCCGGGTGCGAGCGGCAGTGCTGCTTGCTTGCTCCCCCTCTCCCCCAGCCCTTCCCCTCCGTGACCTACCCACTCCTTGCAGCCCTCGCCCGCACCTTCTCCGACACCCCGGCACCCCTGCACCACCTGCTCGGGCAGCCCCGGCGGGCTCTGGGACTTGCTGTGCGCGCCGAGAGGAAGGCAAGCTCCAAACCCCTGCCTGGCAGACGGGCTGTCGCGGCTGCACCACCAGCAGGAGGAGGAGGAGAAGAAACTATTTCGCCCACCGATACCCCATTCTGCGGGTGCTTTGCCGCTGTCGCTACTGCTGCCGCCGATCCGAGTCCGCGGGTTCGAACACCTCAGCGGCGGGGACGGTAGGTCCCGTGGGCGCCGGGAGGAGGACACCAGCGGAGCCCTGCACTCTCGTGCCCCGCTCACCAGCATCTACTTGCCCCCTCGTTCCTTCCCCAGCCCTTTAGAGAAGGGACCATGATTTGGAAACGCAGCGCCGTTCTCCGCTTCTACAGTGTCTGCGGGCTCCTGCTACAAGGTAATCCCCGCCCCGCCGCGGGGAACATCAACTTCTCGCCCATTCCCCATCGTCCCCATTCCACCCCATATTTCCACTCTCCCCTCCCAGTCCCCCTGTCCCCAGCGATTTCCACCCCCTCCCCCTACTCTCTGGTGCGGCAGGGGGCAGTGGCAGTTTGCACCAGCCCCTTGAATTTCTAACGCTGGCTCAGCCCTGCCTTCCCAGCAGTCAGCCCCTTACGCGGCACCTTTTGCCTTTTCATTCACCTGAGCTTCCTTCATCTCACTCCATCCCCGCCAGCATCCCCCTCCCACGCCTTTTGGCTGGCAACTTGTGCCTCTCTGAACATTCCACCCTCCCGACAACCCCCACCAGCCACCTCCCACATCACGCTCTTGACCGACCCTCTCCATCTCTTGTCATCTCTTTAACCTCCCCCTTTTCGGGTCGCCTTTTCTTTTTCCCCTCTTCCCACCATCATCATATCCGTGTGTCTTTAAAAAGTGTGTGAGAGCCTGGGAGCGAGCTACCAAGACGGCGAGAACAGCAGCAGCGGCAGCACCGTGTGCGTTGCAATAACATCTCCGGGGGGAAAATGTGTTGTGAGACGTGTCATTCACCTAGGAAGAGAGAGGAGACTCTGTCTGGGATTTAAGAAAAAAAAAAAAAAAAAAAAGAAAGAAAGAAAGAAAAGAGAAAGGAAAAAGAATAAGAAAAAAGAAAAAATGAACGAATGAATAAATAAACCAATAAATTAAGAAAGGGGAGAAAAGGCAAAAAAATTAAAAGACCCAAACGCACTTTATCAACACATTGACTTTTTATTATTCAGTCTGTGTCATTTCTTTTTTTTTTTTTTAACTAAAGAAATATATGCTTCCTAGCAGTTACTTTACTGCCAAGAGATTTTCACTTAGATTTCCTACCTCTCCATCTTCTCTCTGCCGCTTCTTTCCGTAATTAATATTATCCTTTCACGTGAAATGTAAGAACCCCTACGACCGCAGTGGAGGGAAGCCGCACAAAACGCTGTTATTATGCAAATCACTGGGTTTGGATGCCGGAAGGCTAGGGAATCTGGGTTCACTTCTCTCCAGACCCTGTTTTTAGGAGGAGGGAGTGAGGGGGCTGTGTGGAATGGGAGGATGATGCTGATTATGAAATAAATGGCAATGCATAGTACAGGAGTGCATGAGGACACTTTGGGTGGTGGAGGAGGCAGAGGCGGCGTGCTAGGGCTGGGCGGGCAGGGGCTGTAAGGCGGAAGATCGTTGCTTTGAAGAGAATAGTATAGGGATGTGGCTTGAATGTGAGATATAGCGAGGATGGATGCGAAATGATGATTGATAGAATATTTTTTAAGCTAGGTGACTAGGTTTTTTTTTTCTTTGCCTACCTCTAAACCCTTCTGTCATTTTTTGGGTATTTGCAGGAAGATAAGTTGATGAAATTAATTTTTCCCTGGGTAAAAGGGATCTGAAAGTAAGACACACGTAGACTCACTGGCGTGCAAAACCCAATCGGCCTTTGGAGGATTTAAATGAGGTCAATGAACCATCTTTCAGCAAGTTCTTGGAATGCATCCTCTCTCCTGCCCTCCTCCGGGATATAGACTGGGGACAGAATTTTATTTATGCATATTTATGAACATGAAAGAAGAGGCAGTGGGTAGAATTTTCCTGAATTAACGAACTGACCTTCTAGAGATCTTGCGTAGAATATTTTGGTGGTACTTTTGTGTATTTTACGTTGGGTGTAAATTTCAGATATGTCATGTGTGCCAGAATCTCCGTGAAGGCAGACAGCACATTCTTCCTGCGTACGCCGCCGAGTCCCATTTCTCACCCTTCACACCCCCATCCTCACGCAAGTAACCCGGGTGTCTGACACGTTACTTAGGTTTTTAATCCGCGCTGAGACAATCTCCCGGAGACCCTACTTCACCTCTCAGTAACTTGCATTTCTCAGCTCAGCTGTGTGTGTGTGTGTGTGTGTGAGTGTGTGTGTGTGTGTGTGCGCGCGCGCGCGCCGGCGTGCGCCGTGTTGGGGGGAGTGTGATGTGGGGGAATCAGTTAATTTGGTGATTGCAATGAAAATTCGACACCGCTAGATGTATTTTCCCTGCCAATCTGTGTGTGCTGGTCCCGGCCGGTCAATGCACACACTGCTGGGCTGCTGCGAAATTATTTATTATAGAGCATGTGGGTCATGGACTGCACTTGGGGTCGCCTCCTCTCTTCCTTCAACATTTCCCTGTGAATTGTCTATTCAGTGCAGTGCAAAATAACTGTTTGCTGGTGCCTCTCTCAGCCTGGAGGAGGATTTACTCTTTCTCTACCCGGAGAGATTCCATCAGCAGCATTCAGGCATGAGTCTCTTTTACTGAGTATGTAAACCAATGATTAAGACAGTGCTGCTTTTCACAGCAGACTGGGGTGGGGGTGGGGGGGTGCGGGAAGGGGGTGTGAGTATAGCAGAGAAAATGCACCACTGCAACCAGCAGCAACACCAGCATTAGGTCCAATAAATAAATAAATAAAGGTCCTATACAGCAACCAGGGAAAGAGCACAAGTCCAACCGTGCCTGTGGACTTAGGAGCATCTTAGATCAGACCATATGAATACACTAAAAGAGATAAGAGGATTAAAAAAAGAAAGAAAGAGGAGGAGGCACAAAGCACCACTGGATTGTCTTCTCATATTTATGGCTGCCTCACACTTATTCATCTAACACTACTCCACAGACACATCATACTTTGTTGATATTGTCAGGTTTTGCTCAAATTGCTCATGCCTTCCTTGTCTTAGGCTTGGCTGAGAACATTGCTTCGGGGTTCAGATTTATGTTTCTCCCCCTACCCTACCGTTTTATTAGGACTTAGTTAGGTTGTAGAATGAAGGCTTTATTTCTTGGACATAGATTGACTACTTAGCGGGTCTTTCTATGTGCAGGGAGAAAAGGGTGGCAGGGGAACTAGTGAGCGACTGATTTTGGCTAGAGGGAGTCTGCCCTGCCTGCTAGTAGTTATGACTAGGCAAATACTATAGTCAGTCAATAGCTTCTTTTTTTAGCTTTATCAGCACTATAGTGATATTCACTTAAGTAATACTAATCAGTTTATTTATCCCATGTATTACTCTTCCCTTTCTTGCAGTATACATTATTAAAGACAAAAAGACTCATTTGAACATATCTTCTCCGTGTTTCTGTATTTTAACTGACTGTATTTTATATTATCATCTATCTTTTTTACCTTTTTTTCCCAGAAGCAAATCAATGTTCTGGCTTGTTAATATGTGGAGTGATAAGCCAGTGATGAGAATCCAGTCAATGATAAAATGAGTTTTTTTTAAAAAGGCTTACTTAATTCTATAACATCTGCCAGTTTGTCCTCATCCTCATCGTGTCTTTAGGAAATGAATAATAAATAGAAAATAAACATATGCTTTTGGCCAAACTATAACTTGGAATGTAGGCTACTTAAATAGCAAAATTTGATTTAGTGTTCAGCTACAATGCATCTTTTCTTATTTTCCCTCATCATAGAAAGAGGAAAATCTGGAGTAAGCACAAGGGACACATTAGAGAAATGAATTTCTTTGCAAGGATTGCAAAAGCTTGCCACCTGTAACTAAGTCCTCTCTTGGCTATAGAGTAGATCCAGTTCAATTGCTAACCCTTGCTGAAACTTTATCCCTTTCCATGCCTGAGGGGGCACTGCAAAGATGGAGAGTGCCCTGGGCAGCACAGGAATCAGTTCTGGAAAGGGCAGAAAGGAAACAAGGGCAAAATATAACAAGAAATAGTCATGCATATATGCATACAAGACCTCATTTTGTTGAGAACTGTGTTTACTTTTTGGAATTAGTCATATACAAAAACACCTCCAAGACAGATACTGGGGCTTTAGTTTTTTGTGTTTGTGTGTGTTTTTTTTTTTTTAATTTTTAATTTTGGCCATGGTACATTCTGGTAAATGATTTGTTATGTTTAGTAAAAATATAACACAAACACAATTTAATTTGAATATATATTCAAATTAAATCTCATTGGACGTACATAATACTTGCCTCAGTATGTGTCATGAACCTCATCTTACATTTTTTAGAAAGCACGTTATAATACATATTATACTTATATACACTTAATGAAATAATTATGCTTCCTAAAATCATATCTTTCCAACTCTTTTACCTTCACATATGTTAACTTTAGTCTTGTCAAGCTCATTTCTTATGCCAACTGTAGTTCTTGAAATATCTTTTACTCACTCCCTTCTTCGATTAACATAAACTTTGGAAAATGGAGCCTGTATACTTAAATGCAATAACTGTGGCTTAAATAGTTGAACATCAGACAATTGGTAATTAAGAAAATCTTTGCAAATATGAGGAGTTCCTAGACTGGTTTTATATCAAGATGTGGAAGCTTACTTCATTGTCTTTTTTTCCATTTCTGTAACTATTAGAACTCTAGGAACATAATATGACAAAACTAAGTATCAATTGAGATGATCTGTTCTTGTGTCCTTCATTAGAAGATAAGACATTTTAAAACTATTTGTCACACAATTAAATAGTGGTAGAATGTCATTTTTCTTAAAAAAAATACTTAAATCACTTAAAGAGCAAAATGGAAGTGCAAAAATGTTGGAAGACATCCTAAGCATGCATTTGAAAGTGGCCTGGAATCAACACCAAATGGCATAAATTTTCTCTTTAAGTAGTCTGTGGGATATCAGTGATTGAGACAAGTAAGCCTTATTTACTATGAAGGATTTGGGGGTACATTAATAATCAAATATAGACCTAATGTCATATGGATGTTTTATTTGAGCTTGCTGACATGTGCTTTATGATATTTATTGAGAAATAGTCTTCATTTTATTAGACTGTATTAAACCGACTGGCTATGTCACCCGTTCGGTAGCAGCTGACTGAATAGACTAAGGAAGTAGAGAGAAGGAAAATCACAAACCAAGGAACCCGACTCAGAAACTCAAGTCAGAAGCCCCTTT